CCGCTCACGCGAACGGCAACCTCGTCAGACTCGCAGCCAGTGGATGGGTTGCCATAGTGGGTCGGGTTGGTTGCCACGGCCACCTGCACGTTTGCATCATGTTCCGAAGCAACACCGGATGAAAACTACCACCTTCTGCATTGACTCTTCGCTACACGTGCATGTGACAGTCTTGCATGCAAAACGTGACCCCACCTGCGTCATTACAGCCGGCAGGGCCTTTACGATAGACGACTCGTAGGTGCACAAACCAATTCCCATCATCTTTTGGCAGCTGCCTGTGCCTCGGTTGCCATGTTTTTGACAGGTACTTGTAACAGCTTGAAAAACTACAAAAAACTATATACTGAGATCAAGCTACAAATACAAATGCGTAACGGCAGGCACAGTTAGCTACTTTGTAGAGTAGAGAAGAAAGCTAAGCAAAATCTAGCAAGACTCACGGAAAAAGCTGACAAGAAGCCACAGTCTCCCACAGGTCTGTGGTGTTGCTAGCAGCTTGTGTTTCGGTTGCTTTTTCCAGGCTTTCTTGGTGCATTTCAAGTGTTGTTAAGCTTGTCTTGCTCTGGCTCTATCCCTAGGACCCAGGAGGAAGGCACAAAGCGCCCGTTGCGCTGATCCCACACGGGACCTAAAATAGGACTCCTCCATCCTCTTAGAAGCCTGCAGGAGGCGAAAAAAGCTACCCCCCCCTGCACCCGCCTGCTCTGTTCCAGCGAAGGGAGGGAAAGGTTTTTTTTCCAAAGATTTCTTGGCGGACGGATATGTAGCATGATCACATGTGCGGTGTACCGCCCTACCATAAGCTCACCCGCAGCCTGAGATCGACATACTGGAACGCACATTACATGTACACCTCAGGCTTCGAACTTTGAGCAAAGCTACTCTGCGCTAACCACAAGTCAGCGACAGCTTTTTCTGTGTGCACTGCAGGGATGCATCGAACGGTGGCTACAGCACAAGGTGTTGCTTAGAGCATACATTCAAGCAATACTTGTCTGAAGCCGCTACGATGTGTGGAACACATTGAGAGATGCTATCTGCGCGAGGGTGGCAGAGATATGGTCTATGGTGCCGCTTCACGAGAGCCTTGCCAGATGTTCGTCTGCTCAGAATGCATAGAAGCAAGTTTGGGGATGCACGGGGACAATACTCCAGAGTGTGGGTAACCTCTTCTACAGGATTTCAAACCTCGAGCGATGTGTGTCATCCACCCAGTAATATGCATGTAGATTATGTTAAGACTTTAAAAACGGTAGGTCTACATATACACAGCGATTCTTAATTCTCAAACATGAAAGATCAATGATCACGACAATACGAATGATGATGAAGGTTCTGAATAGAGACCAGGCTGAGCATAGTCGAAAGCTAATGCAATAATGAAAACTCAGTGCGATGACATAAGTTATGATGACGGCTTCCTGATGCATTGTATGTGCAAGTCAACAGCAAATCATGATACATGAAGGGGTACTGATCGTGGTGACGCGTTTAAAGGGGCTTCTGGGTCTGAATGAACAGCCGACTATTGAAACGATGATGATGTGAATCATGGGGACGGCTTCATAAGAAGTTCAAGGTCGAAACTGTGTGATTCAAACACAGACATCCAACGGTTGTGACACACACCATGATGACTGTACCGTATGGTTTTAGCGATATAGTAGCAGTAAGTCAAGGATAGTTAACGGTCACAACATGGATCATGATTACGGTGATGATACAGATCATGATGACTGTAATGCTTATGAAGGTTCTGTAATTGATCTAGATGAAAGTTGTAGGAATTACGCGTATAGCGCAGAGCGATGACACAGCACATGATGACAGTGATGATACAGGTCATGATGACGGCTTGTGCAGGATGTCGGTCAAAAGCATTAGGAAAGGAAGGGTTTCTAGGGCGATGCTGTGGCGTATGATGGCAATGATGATACGGACCATCATGAAGGATCTATATAGGTCGAAGTTATCAAGAGCTTAACTGCATGATGACACCACGCATGATGACGGTGACGATACAGATCATGATGAGGGCAAGGTATGCGAATCGCTATGACGGTCTTCTTCAGCAGGTAGGTGGAATCATCAGGATGCTAAGGATGTTCCAGGTTGCGATGATGCTGGTCTGAACTAATACAGTAGGCCAAGCTCCGAGCTGGGTTGTCGGAAGGTATGACAAAAATATATCTTGCGTGCACATGCATATGTACAAAGTCCTCAGCAATTTCGACAGCTACGAGCGATCCGAATCTCACGTTGACTTGGAATACCCAACGTACTTCGGCATGCAAGCATCTCTCTCTTGTGGCCCCCGTGACGCTTACCCACCACAAAGGATCAGCCAGTGACTAGTGCAGGGATGGCACCGCAATCCGAGTCAGCCTGGCAGATGAGGCCGCAGTACTTGTCGCCAGTCGTGGTTCGGAGCGCACACTGCGGAGTTGCGGTGTCGCCCTTGGGCACATCGCTTGGGCAGGTGCCCTGGCTGTCGCACTTCGGACTGCAGAAGTCGCCCGACAGCCCGCTCACGCGAACGGCGACCTCGTCCGACTCGCAGCCAGTGGATGGGTTGCCATAGTGGGTCGGGTTGGTTGCAACGGCCACCTGCACGGTTGCATCGTGTTCCGAAGCAACACCGGATGAAAACTACCTTCTGCATCGCCTCTTCACTGTACGGGCACGTGTACACACGTAACATCACGTGACAAGCTCGCAGGAAAAGCCAGGTGCCACCTGTGTCATCACGGCCGGCAGAGCCTTCACGATAGATGACTCATAGGTGCACAGACCGATGCCCATCATCGTTTGGCAGCTGCCTGTGCCTTAGCTTCAATGGTACTTCAGCATTCATGTACTGCACTCAAACCTCCAGTGGGGCGCTTACTTACCTCAAAAGATCAGCCAGTAACTAGTGCAGGGATGGCACCGCAATCCGAGTCAGCCTGGCAGACGAGGCCGCAGTACTTGTCGCCAGTCGTGGTTCGGAGAGCACACTGCGGAGTTGCGGTGTCGCCCTTGGGCACATCG